CCCTACCGCCCTCTCTCGGCTCCCTCAGCCGTCGGAGTGCCGCAGCCCGGAGGTAGGGAGCTCACCTCCGCATGTCGGTGCAGACGGAGCTGCCTGGGGTGTCCTCTCGGTGCTAAAACCGTCTGAGAGACAACTTTTCCCCGTAAAAAAGAGCTGCTCCTGAAGCCTCGGGAACGCGGCCGTGGTGAGACTGAGTCACGCCAGAGCCGGCTGTGCCGCTGTGTTAAAGTCTCTGGAATAAGCTTCGCCTGAGGAGCCGGAGAAGGGGAATCCTCCTCCAGACTGCCTTTCTGAGTGGGTAAGCTGTAACTCGGAGGAATTACCACCTCACACCCCGTAGTCTTCGGTTACCGAGGATGCGAGTGGCAAACAGCTGTCTCGATCGGTGCTTTGGTTAGAAATCCATTTCTTTGGTCTTACTCCTGTGACCCGCACGTGCCACTCCCAGGTAACTTGGATGAGTTGAAACATGACAAACCCTATTTTGTCTGGATTGTGTCATCCATCTGTATGGTGTCTACTATTTCATTTGTACGATGCTGTTTTTTTTCAGTTGGCACATTTTTCCTGGAAAAGCTGTAGACATACTGTCTATAACTGATGTTCATCTGCTTATGTGGCAGCCTTCTCGCTTCTTCTCTTTAAATGCTTTTGGTATTTCCTGCAGGAGGGGGGAAAAAAAGTTGATCTGTGGCAATGATGGATCCTTTAGAGAACAACTTGTTTGATCTTCCTGATTATGAGAATACAGAAGACGAAACGTTCCCACCTCTTCCACCTCCTGCCTCTCCAGGAAGCGATGATGGCGGATGGGCTCAAGCTAATGGAGGTGAACACGTGTGACCCCTAAAGATCCCATTTTGCAGCACAGACAATGAAACGCTGGGAAGTCAGTATTACTGGGGGTGTACTTGGCTACCTTGAGTTTACCGCATAACAGTAGTCTTGTGTAGATAAGAAAGGAATGCGTAAACTTGGATTGTTATTGATTCTATGCGTCCGAGCTTGTGGGAAAAGTTTTGCATTTGTAGATTCCATGAAAATATGCATGCAAATGAATCTTTATAAAATTCAAGCTCTTCTGACAAAATACTGGTAAAGATAATTATACAGCAGTGATTTATAATTACCCTTTATGACTTAGATTTCAGAAGAGATAAGAGTGTTGAGTGTAGTATTCCAGAGAGATGTTGGTAGATTTTGTAGAGCATATGACCTAGGAAAAATCCAAGACGCTTCAGGACAGTAAAAGTTAATTATTTGTATTTGAAAAGATCTTACTGTGTGCTGAACAAGCTAATAGAAGGTATAAAGATTTTATTTTAATTGTTGTTTACTTCTACTCATATTTGCCCGTAGTGTTAAACTTAGGTTTTTCTTGATCCCTGCTCTGTCTGTTCACTAGATAATAGGATTTTGGATAGATTTAATTCCTTCCTACATGAAAAGGATGGCTTCTGAATTCCTGATGGTCAAAGTAACAAAAAGTACACCAAGAAATCAGTATGGTAACTAATTGCTTGCTCTGAAATGAGGTGGGCAGTGGTGCCTTATCTGTTGCGGTCAAATAATGCATACTGGCCCTGATCAAAAAACATATGGACTTTAGCTCTTAAAATACACACTGACTGTTGTCATACATCACCTCTTTCTCTGTTTTTTTGAAGGTGATGCTGGTATTTTAGGTCTGCCAGTGGAAATTCTGGGACGCACCTGTCAAATTATGTTTATTGATAATTTGAGTTTCTTAACTTTTAGAAGCAGCATCTACTCTCAATACATTTCTCATTAGAAATACAATATAAAAGTTCTAAAATTAGGTTCCTTGAAAGAGGAATTTTGTACTTTGCCAGCGAAGTTAGTTCTTCAGCATATTTTGAAGAGGCAGATTTATTTTCAGTATGTCTTGTGAGAGACGCAAGGTGAAATATGCAGACGTTTGTTTGGAGTACTGTATCTGCAGTGGCATACTGGCGACTGTTGCCTTTTTGATAAGGTAGAAACTTAAAATTTACATTATGTCATTCTAGTTGATGTCATTTGGATTCTATACTTCAAGTATGTGATTTTCTTCATTAGAACCAGATGGAAACCAGCAATCACAAACAAAGGATTCTGCTGTCGCTCCACGGAAAGCAGTTAAAAGACCAATGCCTAAACTAGATGCTCAGAGGTGATTTTTTTTTTACTGAATATTTTTTTTCTGTGATGAATTTGGTATATGGCTGTGGGGGAATGATTAAGGTTACTGTGATCCCTGCTTGGTCTTAGCCAAGTGAAAGATAAGAGATGAAAGTGCCTCTTGCATGCTGTATCTCAGCCTTTTTATTCCTTGCCTACCTGTGTAATGCTGTTACTGGTCTAGCTTTCTTGCAGTCTCTTTGGGACTTAGTACATGACTAATAATTTGAGGCATTTATTATTCATACATAGGACTCTTTCAGCTGGATCTTTATTTTGCTTCAGACATAGTGCTGTAGATTTATTTCTTTAATTAAAGCATGCTTCAAAATAAAACCTCAGTATAATGGTGACTGTAGGGTATTACTTAAAGTACACTTACACCTGACTTATGTACAAGCTGTATAAACTGTGTAAAGATAAAGGACTTTGATAACAGCAAGGAAAGTGTTATTAAAATTGGTGTAAGCTCTTTATAAGCAATAGAAAGAGTCTGAGCTTTCAGTTTCTTCCGTTTTAAATATACTGATGAAGTTAGTGGTGTCACGGGTGGATGCTCTGGTAACACATGGAACTAGTGTTACTTGGCCAATATAGATACTAGAACCGACTTTCCGTGTAATCAAAATAAAAAAGCTCCTTGAACTAGGAATAGATGTGTGGTAAATTTTCCAAATAAGTCTTCGGTCTTACAGAGTCTTTATCCTATTTTGTGCGTTTTCTTAATGACTTCTAATTCTGTACATCTTTCACATACAGCTCTAACTTTAGGCTATTTAAAGGAATGTGAGGTTGTTTGTGTGGTTTACAGAGTTTGTTTTGTTTTGTTGTTTGTTTTTAATTAGAAAAAGTAGGGGTTTCAAAAAACTTCACCCATTTCCTATTAACAGGTTAATTTCAGAAAGAGGACTTCCAGCCCTCAGACACTTGTTTGACAACGTGAAGTTCAAGGGTAAGGGCCACGAGGTAAGACATGGTGAGCTTTTGGGTTGTTTCCTGGGAGGTTAATCTGGACTTAATAGACTGCTGCCCATATGACAAGGGGAGAACTGATATTACGCTGTGGTTAGCCAGCTTTCTAACAGTATTTGAACATGTGCCGATGGGGTTTGTAGTTGCAAATTTAAAAAAACACACACAAATGTTTTAACAAAATCCATGTTTTGATCTGAAAACTTATTTTCCTTTACTTCAGAACTAGAGTATTGTATGAGTGACTCTTTGTATTGCCCACAGAAAGGGTTTAACATTTAAAATTGGGACAGGCTTATAAGACTGCCTGCTACATCTGGAATGCCTTTACCATCTCATTTCATGATCAGTTTCCTTCTGGCTTTTGTGACACTTCTATCCCAAAGTTTTTAATATTCAAAAGAAGTGTGACATACCACTTAAGCAAAGAGAAAGCAGTATTTTTTCTACACATTGTCTTGTTGTCTTGGATACACTTAAACATAAAAAGCTCATTTTTCTTTAAATATCATTAGACTATTGGCATGCTTGCAAGGATGCCTGTGCATCGCTGGTTTACGGAGAACATTCATGGTATAAATTTTCTCTTTACAACTCGAGGCAGTTGTAACTAAAGAACTAGGCAATACTGCTGCGCTGAGGAAGAATCTTTACTAGACAAGGTTATTTAGATGTACGTTTTTGTGTGTTCTAAGCATCAAAATGAATGCCAGCTGTGCCTCTATGGATTTTCTTTTTCCGTCTGGGTTCAGACCTAAGTTGCTTAAGGGCAACTTCTCAGAAGCCTGTCAGATGTTTTACAGTATGTGAAAATACTTTTCCTGAACTTGGATCGCTGTTCTTCTGATAGCTTGAAACTGCACTTACAGACTTGATTGTGGGAGGAAAGGCTACCCATGCATCCATATTACTTGAATTTTCAAGAGACTTTCAAGCTTCAGATGCTTAATATTTTCAGAAATGTTACTGTGACATTACTGTGATGTTTCTCCCTGCAGTCTATTGAACTTAGTCAACTTTTACTCGCTGGATATCTTGTTTTATGCTTTAGGCAGAAGACCTGAAGACACTGATAAGACATATGGAACACTGGGCTCATAGACTGTTTCCAAAATTGCAATTTGAGGAGTTCATTGACAGAGTGGAGTCTTTGGGAAACAAAAAGGAAGTTCAGGTACATATTGTAATTGTCAGTTTCCATTCGTGCAGTACTGAGTAGCCTAAGAGGTAGGTTTAGGAGAGCAATTACGCAACGAAAGAAGACTTAGGTTGCATATACTGATAAGGAGTATAATGTTATTTAATTTATGTTTACATTTAAATATAACCTTTCTTTATTTGAATCAGTACTTCAGAGAATTGGCTTTGACTTTCTCAGGACGTCTTTAACCAAAGTAATTTGTTTAAGAGTGCTGGAACTGGTTGGTTTGGGGGTTTTTGTTTGGTTTTCAACATTTGAACCTGCAAAAGAAGACTTATGAACAATGCTGCTTCATCCGCCTAAGTGATAGATGAAGGACTAGGAAAACAATCCACAGCACTGAAAGTTGTGGGTCAGACAGACATGCAGTGAAAAGAATGTTTTTTTCAGAGTAATAAAATGTAAAGAGAAACTGGGAGTAGTATTAAAAACATAGCAATGTTGCACAAAAGATTTTGTTACAGATGAAATATCAGTATTGCAATCTCTCGTTTGCAGACCTGCCTAAAGCGGATTAGACTTGATCTTCCTATTTTACATGAAGACTTTGCAAGTAAGGAAGGTATGCTCATTATGCTGTTTGTTCAGTAGTTCAGTGCTTAAAATTACTTCCCCTCCTGCTGACCAGAAATTAATGATCATGATACATTTTTATAATGTAGAAGAAATTGTTGAGTGGTCCTCTATTTTAAAACCAAACTTCTGTGAGACGATTACAAAATGGAACTGGTACTCAGACTAAAATGTTGCATATATATATACACACACACACACACATATATATATAAAAAAATAAAAGCGTGTGGTATACTGAAAGGAAATGTACAATGGGTATTATTACCAGCATTGTTAAAATACTCTTCCAAAAAAACCCCGAAACTGCAATGATGAAGTGAACATCCTGGTTTGTATTGTACTGTTATGATCGTGCAGTGTGAAGAGCTGTTGGATCTGCTCAGTGCAGAAGTCGAAGAGTCATTGTACTGTTTGTACGACAGGCTGTTACAGTGCGGTCAGGTCCCTTTGTAGGGAAGGTGCTCACTAATGCTGGTGGGCACTGTTATGTCTGTTTGTCAGTCTTGGCGTATAGCTATTATTGAGTATTTCTTCTTCCAATATCAAAATCCAGCCACTTAACAGGTAGATAATTCAAGAGTCTCTTCCAGTCAGATGGTATTTTTAGACTAGAAATGAACAAATTATTTTTTTATATAAAAAGAGGGAGCAGAGTTCACCTGGTAATTTAGAAGAAACTTTATTAGCAGAAATAAGAGAATTTCGTAATTGTTCTTAAGGTCCTTTGCAAGTGTTCCCACTTCCACTGTCAGTGTCTCTTGAAACAGTTACCTACCCATCGTCCAGTTTGTCTTCAGGTGAACTGTGCCTCCTCCGGACAAGCCAGTGCTTGGGACAGGGGCTCTGGTGGATGAGTTATCCAATGGCAAAGCCTTGCCTCCCCTGCGGGAACGACCTTTGGGCAGTTAGTGGCGTGTGGCTGTCTTCGCTGTTGGCTGCATTTGCTAGAAATGGAATGCAGCCGTAAGCAGCCACAAACAGTAAAGCAAATGGTTCCTGCCGACAGGGTCTGTAGAGTTATCAGATTTTTCTGTGCGATGGTTCCATACATTTGTGTTTAAATGCAGTGCTGATTTGTTCTTGAACTGTGTTCGTGAGCGTATGGCTACAACTGGTCAGTCTTCAGTTGAAAAACTGGAGTAGGTATCTTACAATTTTGAAATAAAAACTGCAGCTAGAGTATTGTATTGAAACCCCAAACCTTGTTGTCAGCCAGGTTCTCTATTCGCAGGCTTAAAGTGGTGCAGAGGCACAAGCATACTTGGCCTTAGCCACTCTTGAGTGCTGTGCTCCTCTGCTGGTGGGTGAAGTTTGTCTAGCGGAGTTGGACTGCCTCCATTTTGCATGTGTTCATGTTGGCAAAGGAGTAAATATCCTGAATAGTAGCACACTGAACTGGGAGTTTGACTGGAGACCTTCAAAGGTCCCTTCCAGCCCACACTGTTCTGTGATTCTGTGGACTCAAAACTGACTATTTAGTGTCTGTGTCTGAACCTCTGTCTGATTCCTGTAGCCAGTCCTGCCACTTCCCAAAGGACAGTCTCACATAGGTAGGGGTGGGAAGAAAACTATCTGGCCTTTCAGTAAGGACTGGCTGGATTTACTGTCTCTTTCTGCCTTCGCACGCAGCTGACGATTGCTAACTTAGGTTCACAGAGCTATGCCTCTCTAAATTCAGGCATTTATTGTTGTTGTGCATTTGGGATCTCTGATAAGAATCTGTGGTATAGTTAAATATCAGCTATGTGGACCTAGGCAGAAAATTGCCTATTAAAACTGAATTACAGAATGACCTTCAGCTGTCAATACAACTTGAACCTGTAGAACAGAGAAATGCTTTTAAAGTGTTCTCATGACAGATGTTTAGCAGTAGATCTCTTTGGGTTCCAAGTGTTGATTTCTGCCCCTTTTCCCCCTCCCACCCCTCATTTTTAACCAGACGGTGGAGGGGAAAGTAATGGGCTGGATACAGCCTCTGAAGACGTACATTCCTGCCCTGGAAGTGCAGAGGAACTCAGTTCTCTGTCTGGTACAACTCTCACGGAAGAGCAACAAGAGCGAATCAAGAAGAACAGGCAGCTGGCCTTGGAACGCAGGCAAGCCAAGATGCAGTGCAACAGCCAGTCGCAGCACCACGGTAATCGACTCTCTAGCTTAAGATGGAGCCCGGAGCACCCTGGGCTGGGGGAAGATGTCCCTGGTCATGGCAGGGGGGTTGGAACCAGATGATCTTTAAGGTCCCTTCCAACCCTTATCATGCTGTGATTCTGTGATTAAGTGTTCATGCTAAGGTCAGTACCCCGAGAAGCTTGCACAGCTGAGTGGCTGAGTCAATTCAAGGAAATGGTAGTGATTGCTTTTCTAGTAAGTAGCAAAATGTGTAACTCTCAAACTCTGTTCCTGTAGTTAGACTCCTCCAAGGCCAAGTCAGAGCTACTCTCCTTAGCTGTCATGCCAAGTTGTGATAGCTTTGTCTTCGATGAAGTGAAACTCACCTTGGTCATCCCTAGAGTCAGCTTTGCTGCAGACTGTGATTCTAGCTTAGAAACTGCAGTTAAACCCACAGCAACAGTGTTTTCTCACAGTAGGAAACTGCTTTTAAGTTCTTTGCGCTTATTTTTCCCAACAGAGCTCTCCACTGGTTCCTTGGAAGAGGAGTTTAATACCCCAGTTGCTCAGGATCCCACTGACCTCATGGAAGACACTCCAGTCGCTGCAACCACAGTTGCTATTACAGAAGCTGAAGATACAGAAGTGGAATGGGCCAGTGAAAAGCAGTAACCGTTCCCCATACTTTGAATGACTTTCTTGACTGAAAGACCCCAATGTTTTAAGTACTATCACTATATTGAAACATTGCTGGCTCTTTGCTCTGACTCCGGAAGCTTCATGGAAATCTTCATCATGACATCTGGACAGAGTTCTCTTGAAACTGTGGATGAGTAGCTCTGTGCACCAGAAAACAGAACAAAGTTCTTCATCTGCATTTGAGGCATTTCTTCCACCTGCCCTAGTGTTTTTTAGGAAATGTTAATGAGTTTTTTGACCTACTTTGAATTTTGTTTACAACTGATGTCAAACTGAATTAACTGGGATATTGACAGGTGAAGTTTCTATTACAGTTGTTTGCTTTTTTTAATAGAGGGTAGTGCTATGTCTGAAGAGGTGTCCTGGATTTTTTTTAACTTGCTTACCAAGTACCTGTATCTCTTTCTTACAAAATGGAAGCTATTAAATTTCACAAGTCAAACCTGAAATTCGTGTGTGAGGCTGTTACAACTTCCCCATCCCTGGTGCTCGTCAGACATCTCTTCACAGACAAGTACATCCCCCATGGGAGCATGCTCTGGCTTTGACCAGATGGGTTACCTGCCTTGGGCTGGTTCTGTTCTCTGTCTTGAAGCTGTTTCGTCCTCTTCTTACAGTCGTTTCTCCTTCTTCCCCAACAGCTTTTCCCTTTTGTGGAATGAACAGGAATCACAGTAATGGCAAAGCCCTGAGCCTGCCCTCTCCAGTAGCACAGGCTAGGCTGTTGTTCGTCACAAAAACTGAACAGAAACTATAGTGGAAGGTAGCCAACAGCTGTAGGAAATACTTCAGTTTTAAGAACTTACTTTCCCGTGTTGTCCATAGATTAACTTTTTGAATGATTGTTAAAAGAATTCACCACACTGTCTTTAGTCTGGAAGATGAGATTTATCATGTACAAAATCTTTTAAAAATTCATACATGTTCATAATCAGATAAAAATAATTCTTATTTAAAATAGACATTTAGTTTCTTATTAAAATGATTCTTGAATATTTAAATAGACTGCTTCAAGAAGACCCAACCCAAACTTACTCACACAGAGCAGAGAGGAGCAGACCATCAACAAGCAGCTGTTGCTCGGTTATAGTTCAAGTTCTAATGTCAGCTGAAACATCTAAGAGTGCCAAATCCCTGATCTCCTCCAGCAGCTGGTACAAGCTGGCTCCCTTGGTCTGGCAGTACTTCTGGTAGTCTTCATCCAGTACTTCAGCTCTTGCTTGTTCCTGGGCACGCTGGGTGGCTTCTGCAGACCGACTGACTGCTTTTACTAAGTCAGATTTCACCACGTGGCAATTCTTCTGGGAAACCTCGGTGTCCGACGTCTGGTATGGTGCGTTCCTGATTATTTCAAGCTTGATCGTGTCAGCATGGCAGCGGGAAGTCTGCACGAGTATTTTTACCTTAAAAGCAATATAAAAGTCACTTAATTTCTGCTAGTGCTATTTCCTTTTGCTTCCTTCAGATTAAATACTCACTGTAATGTGATCGAAAAGGCTTAATGTAACTGATTCTCCAGTAGTTGTAGTGGAAGTAATTTTATTCTGAAAGCGATGAAGTGATCCAGGCTTCCACTCACAGCTCCTATCACCTTGACAAGAGATGACTAAGCCTTCTTTGTTTTTCATATATGCAGCACCTTTGATGCCATATCTACAAAAAAGCAGAGGAGCAGACAGAAGCTGTTCTAACAATTTTCACCCTTATCAGTTCTCTTAATTTCAAAATCAGCAGAAGGCTGGCAAGGGTTATATAAAAGCAGCATGAAAGGGCAAAGCTGTGGCCTGATAATCCTGCTTCAGGGACACTGAGGTGTTTCGAAAGCAGCGAAAAGAAAGCAAAATACAGTCAGTGATCCCTTATCTCGTGTGTTGGGTGGAGCCTGGAACGGCCAGATGATAGAAGAGCAGCATTACGGGTTTTTCCAGACAGGTATGTGAGGAAACAGTCCTCCATTAAAAAAAAAAAAAAGTTACTTGAGCAGCAGCAGCATGCTTGCCCTGGATTCTGTGGAAGGCAGCAGCTCTGGGCCAGGCAGGCTCTGGCTCTTCAGCCGTGCTTCCAGGCCAAACCATCTGGAGGGCTGGAGACGACAGGCCTACTGCGAGCTGGTTCACAGCCCAGCTCTGTCTGGGGCCAGGATCAAGCAGCTGTATGCATGGAAGTCCAGGGCGTTCATGTAACAGGTTGCTTTACTTCACATCCCTGCAGAATGGTCTTTGATTTTTGTTTCTGTTTTTTAAAGGAGAGTTCTTATGCCTACACTTCTCATACCTGCTAGCTAGCTGGGCAGACAGTGTCGCTGCCAGTAACGCACAGAGACCATTAACTAATCCAACCTGTCCAGAGCCACTAAGGGAAAAGAATGGTAGTTCTCTTCCCCCAGCTGGAAGAGCTGGCCAAGTCCTACGAGAGGCACTGCTTTCCAGCTCTATGGTGCCTTTTGCAAGGGCATGGAGTGACATGACAAGGGGTAATGGCTTCAAGCTGAAAGAGGGGAGATGTAGACTAGATGTAAGACATTCTTTATGATGAGTGTGGTGAGGCCCTGGCCCAGGCTGCCCAGAGAAGCTGTGGCTGCCCCCTCCCTGGCAGGGCTCAAGGCCAGATTGGATGGAGCTCTGAGCACCCTGGGCTGGTGGAAGGGGTCCCTGCCCATGGCAGGGGGATGGAACTGGGTTATCTGTAAGGTCCCTTCCAACCCAAACCGTTCCATGATTCTGTGACTAGTCCCTTCTTACATCATTCACTTGTCAATTTATAACATAAGCAGAACACATTTAATATACTTCAAACCACAGATTTAACAGCTCATAAATTGGAAAATAATGTTAGCCTCATGCAAAGAGTTTTATTTCTGCTTGGATAAATCAGAGGCTGAGATATAGGCACTTAGAAGAGCCTCACTGCCATACACAGCACCATGCAAACGTTTCTGCTACGCTTCCCTGCTCCCTGCGAGGAGTGGCTGAGCAAAAGGCGCTCCCGGCCTGCAGAAACTACAGTCTGCAGTGAAGGAAAAGAGCGCTGAGGAATGCATGGCTTTGTGATTTGGAAAATCACTTTCTATTATTTGAAAAAGAAAAAGGGGGAGGGAAGTGGGGGGGATATTCCAGTCATTGTTCTGCCCTAGCAGCTGCTTGGGCAAAAAACGTCCTTGTAAGGTTTTGACATAAATGGATCGTGTGCAGCCCAGCCTTACCACTTCCTCACGGAACTCCTTTTCAGAGTCGACGCACAGCAAAGCACTCCTTGTGATTGCAACAAAAATCTAAACCGCAGTCATCGGTCCACACCAGGCCACGCTACAAACACTTCCTTTCCCAAGGACCAGAGCACTCTCACAGCATTCCAGTAACACCACTGTCTTATTTTTAAGCTCAGCCCAAGCTCTAATCAACTCACCTTGGTACAAAAACAAGCACACCGTTTGTTCGAATTGAGTAAATAACGCCATCTGCTATGCAGCGCTCATCTGTTTCTGGCGTTTTGTCTTTGAAGTACATGCACTGGAAGAGTTCAGTCGACTGTTTCTGAGCATGCTGGGCTGCCTGCAAACACCCCACACAAAAAGGGAAGAGAAAACCACCAAAATAAATATTTCAACAAGCTTGTTTGGCTTTGATTTCCATCATTTCTTTTTCCTATTACTTAATCCCTTGCCCATCCCCCTAGAAAAACTACATCTAAAACAAAATCCTACGTGTAGTACAGGTGAAGTATGAAGTTACTTTTACTACCACTCAGAAGAAAACTGATGATTAACTAAAAAAAACCCCAAAGCATTATAAACAAAAAAAGAGTGATACTGTGTCGCTGTAGTACCCAAAAGCCGCAGTCAGGAGCGGTACCCCACTCCGCCGGGCGGCATACAGCCACCCGGAGACACGCGCAGTGACCATCTTACCCGGTTTCTGCTATTAATGTGTCTGCACAGTTCCTGAAGATCCTTATTACTGAATACACTATCTTTAACATCTCCTTCAGTTTCATTCAGAGTTGCTGCCGTCAGCAGTCTGTGGACAACAATGTCAGCGTACCTTCTAATCGGAGAAGTGAAATGAGTGTACTTCTCTAAGGCGAGTCCTACAAATAAAACAGGAAGCGGTGTGAAGCAATCGGAGGAATCAACTGCCTCCCACCCACCATTTCAGAAATAACCACAGGAGCAGCATAAAAAATGAAGTGACCAGATACCATAATGATGAAACTCTTCCTCAGGACAAGAGCCAGTGGAGAAGTACAATGCGTTAGACATCGCGTGAGTGGCCATAGATCGCAACAGTTTATTTACAATTGGATCCAATGGGTCATGTGCTTTATCCAGAGACTCAGCCAACGCTTTGTTAGACCTGTCAAAAAAACGTTAACTCTGAAGAAAATTATGCTATCCCTGATCTTAATAGCTTATAGTTAAAAATAGCATACAAAAGCACATAAAAATTAATAGTTATTAATATAAAAACATGAATGACAAGCAGAATGGTATTAAAACGTTCAACACCATTTAGTAACAGCTCTGCTTTAGAAAAATGTTCAGAAAAAAACTCCAGTTTTCCTGGGTCTGTCAGGAAACAGGCCTGTCTTCTGCAGCCTGGAAAACCAAGAAGGACTGGAGCAAAATCCCATTCCATGCTGCACAAAACAGGCGGCGAGCTGCCCGAAAACCTGTTCTCTACAGGAGAGCACACGTGCTGCACAGAAGGGGACGGCCACGTAAAAGGAGGCACTGCTGACACCCATCGCACTCTGATGTCCAGAAATGGTGCCTCCCAGACAGAAGGGGACGGCCAAGTAAAAGGAGGCACTGCTGACACCCATCACACTCTGATGTCCAGAAATGGTGCCTCCCAGGGCGATGAAGCTCACAGCCTTCTCATAATATCTTCACAAAGTCATTCTGAACGATTTTGAGTCATTTAACATGACTATATTGCACAGAATTAACTCGATTTAGACATGTACTCTCTTAC